AGGAGTAAGAAGCAGAATGTTGTTGCCAGAAGTAGTGCAGAATCTGAATTTAGATCTATGGCTAATGGAATCTGTGAACTACTTTGGATCAAGAGAATGATGACAGAGTTGAATATGGAAATGGACCTACCTATGAAGTTATATTGTGACAATAAAGCAGCCATTAATATTGCTCACAATCCTATGCTACATGGTCATACTAAACACATTGAGGTGGACAGGCATTTTATCAAAGAGAAGATTGAAGCTGGAATTGTGTGCACACCATTTATATCTACTAAAGAGCAGACAGCTGATATCTTTACAAAGGGGCTGTTTAAACCAGTGTTTGAATTTCTTATAAGCAAGTTGGGAATGTATGATATATACTTACCAACTTGAGGGGGAGTGTAGAAAAATGTAGCATATACATGTTATTTTATTATGTGTACATCCGGAACTGTATAGATAGGAATTAGAGTTGATTTAGGGCTCTAACTCTTAGATTAGCTCGCAGTGTAGATAAGAATAGATAGATCCTAATATTTAGGATCTGTAACAAACCTTAGTTTATCTGTAATCTTGTATATATATCATTGCCGGATGGCTCAATAATACAAGGAAGATTAATTCTTCAAAACTACACAATTACTACAAGCAACCCGGGCACTTGATCAAAGAATGTAGAAAATTGTTGTTCAAAAATCAAGGAAATCAGCTTGGTCATGTTGCTTCCTCTACCAGTTCATCTGATGGATCAATTGTTATTTCTTTACACGAGCATGCCAAATTTATTTGATACCAGAAATCATCTCGTTCATGTTGCTTCCTCTACCAGTTCATATGATCAATTGCTATCTCGGTAGTCACTAATTCAGGTATTTCAAACACGTGTCTTGTTTCATCATCCTCGAAATGGGCCATTGACTCAAGTGCCACAGATCATAGATTATATGACTGGTAATCCTAGTCTATTCTCGTCATTTCATTCATATTTACCTACTTCTCGTGTCACTTTAGCTAACGGATCTACTTCAGCCATTCCTGGATCCAGTATTGTTGTCCCAACTTTTACATTACCATTATAGCCTGTTTTGAGTCTTCCTAATTTTGCATTTAACCTGCTTTCCACCAATAAAATCCCACGTACTCTTAATTGTTCTATAACATCTTTTCCTGTATATTGTGTGTTTCAGGATCTGTTAACGAGGCAGACTATTGGTAAAGGACATGAGTCGACTGGTCTTTATATTTGAATAAATCAATCACAAAAGGTATCTCTTGTCTTGGGGTTGGGACTTTGTTAGAGGCTCATTACAGATTAGGACATCCATCTCTCCTATTACTGATGCAAATAAATCCTCAATTCAATAAGTTTTCATCTTTATAATGTGACTCATGTCAATTTGCGAAACACCATTGTACTACCTTAAGCCCTCGAGTTAATAAACGAGCAAATGCTACATTTGACCTTGTTCATTCTCATGTTTGGGGTGCTTGCCCGGTTGTGTCTAAAGCTGGTTTTAAATATTTTGTTACCTTTGTTGATGATTATTCTCATATGACATAGCTGTATTTCATGAAACGTCGATCTGGGTTGTTCACTCATTTCTTTTTGTGCTGAAATTAAAACTCAGTTCAACTTTCCTGTTCGGATGTTGGAGACAACGCCTAAGAATATTTATCTGCTACATTTAAGTCATTTATGGTTCAAAAAGGCATAATTCATCAAACTTCACGCGTTGACACACCTCCTCAAAATGGGGTTGCAGAACGAAAGAACCGACATATGTTAAAAACTGGAAGGGCTTTTCTATTCCAAATGAATGTGCTTAAACAATTTGGGCCGATGTCGTGTCTACCGCATGTTTTTTGATAAATCGTATGCAGTCTTCTGTTTTGAATGATAAAGCTCCTTATCACTGTCTGTTTCCAAATAAAGAGCTTTTTCATATCACACCTAAAATATATGGTTGCACTTGTTTTGTTAGAGATGTTAATCCTCATCTTACAAAGCTAGATCCCAAATCATTAAAATGTATTATCTTAGGTTATTCTCGAGTTCAAAAGGGGTATAGATGTTTTTGTCCAAGTACAAGTCAGTATCTTGTTTTCATTGATGCATCATTTCATCAAAATACACCTTTTTCATCATCTAAGACAGATATTCATGAGAATATAGAAGATATACTCATTTTCACGGTGACTATAGCTGAGTCCACACTTTCGAAAATTATTCCACAAGTTATTGTTCCTGACCCTAGGCCTCTAGTACACTTGGTATACACCCGTCGACACGAAGCACCAGATCACCCTCCACCTGTGACACCTTTGATTACTTATCCTCATACTAGTCCAACCTCGATCTCATGTCCTGAACCAGTACCCGCATCTTCAAATCTTGTCTCTATATCAATTGTTGACGTCCCGATAGCACTACGTAAAAGTACACGGTCTTGTACTCGTCCTATTTCTTCATTTATGTCGTATAGTGAATTATCTCTTACCTCATTTCTTTCATTGCTTCCATTGATTCTATCTTTATTCTCAAATTTGTTAAAGAAACTTTGTCTCATCCTGGATGGCATCATTCCATGGTAGAGGAAATAAATGCTTTGGATCTTAATGTTACTAAGGGTTTGATAAACTTGTCCACAGGGAAGGTCTATTGGATGTAAGTGGGTCTTTGTTGTTAAGGTTAGCCTAGTTGGATCTGTAGCTCGGTTGAAAGTCCGATTAGTTGCGAAGGGTTATGCTCAGATATATTTGTTGTTAAGGTTAACCCAAAAGTCTATTTTCTCATGTTTCTAAATTAACATGTGTGTGCTACTTATTTCACTCGTTGCAACTCATGATTGGCACTTACATCAGTTAGACATTAAAAATGTATTCTTGCATAGTGACCTTTAGGAAGAAGTTTATATCGAGCAACCTTCAGGAGTTGTTACTCAGGGTAAAGTTTGTCGACTTCGCAAGTCGCTTTATAGTCTGAAAAAGAGTCTGTGTGCATGATTTGGGAAATTCAGTCAATCAATTGAACAGTTTGGAATGATTAAAGGCAAATCAGATCACTTCCAGAAAGTTATAATGCAAATACTTTGGCCCTTAAGAATTTTCTTCAGATTTAGTTCCAGACAAAAGATCTAGGCTCATTGAAATACTTCTTAGGTATTGAGGTAACACGGAGTAAGATAGACATATTTCTATCTCAACGAATATATGTACTTTTTTTGCTAGCTCAAACATGAAATTGGGATCAAAGCCGAGCAATACTCCCATGGTTCCCAACATGCAACTCGCTCAAGAAGGCATGTCATTTGAAGAACCAGAACGATATACAACATTGGTTGGAAAGCTTAATTATCTCGCAGTCACAAGTCCAAATATTGCTTACTCTATGAGTGTAGTGAGTCAATACATGTCATTTTCGACCATTGGTCATTGGTCATTTTTATGTATATTCATCTCTTTTTATATTATCTTTTTATAATAGCTTTTTTTTTTTATCTTTATTCTTTCTTTTCCTTTTGGTTGTGATATCTTGTATCGATTCATGTTAGCCGACCCCAATATCTTTTGGGACTAAGGCTTGGATGTTGTTGTTGGTCATTGGGCTGCTGTAGAACACATATTATGTTATTTAAATGGAGCACTGGGATGAGGTACTGTTTATCAAAACAATTATCACATGAGAATAGAATGCTTTGCAGATGTTAACTAGGTCGGTTCTAAAGATGACGTAAGATTGACATCTAGCTATTGCGTCTTTGTTGGTGGTAATCTTGTATCCTGGAACTGTAAGAAACAAAATCTGATTTCTCTGTTGAATCAGAATATCGAGCTATGGCGCAATCTGCATGTGAGATCATATGGATAAGCCATTTATTGAGTGAATTCGGATTGAAGACATCAATGTCTACTAAAGTGTGATGTGATAACCAAGTTGTTATACACATAGCGAATAATCCGGTATTTCGTGAGAGAACAAAACACATTGAGGTTGATTGTCATTTTATTTGAGAGAATATACAGAAGGGAAGGAATTTATTCAAATTCTAGTTTGTATTTCAACAGTACTTTTCAGGGAAAGAATGTATTCAACTTTGCCATGAGGTATCTTCAGCCGGTGAGGTTGTCGAAAAAACAAAGATATATATTATTCAAAAAAGAGGTAGAGTCGCCTACGGCGTGAAAGCCGAGCCAGATCAGAAGTCACTAAAGTTTCTTTCTGCGATTGTGCGAGAAGAATAGCTAAAACCAAAAACGGAAAAGCCTTTTACTTCCATCTGCAACTAAATGATAAAGGTTTGGAGAAAGAATCTGGATTATAGAAGTCAAATTTCATTTATTTTTTAATAGCCAATTTCTATGGTGGAAATTTGCTCTTATTATTTTCTTTTTCTTGGTAGGAAACTGGGTGGATATGTCGAAAGAACAAGAGGGAGAAGAAAACAAAAGAAGAGGGAAGGACAAAACGGAAAGGAAAGAGGAAAGAAAAAAAGTAAAGAAAAAAGAGATGGCACATAAGTAAAGACTAAAGACTACCTGTTACCAATTGGAAACCTGTTAAATAGACTAATGGAACGTTTTTTAGAGTTTATGGGTTCAATTGAGTGTTTAATGAGTGAGGGTGGTGATTGCCTAATCGACTATACTATAAGGGCTTGTTGACAGATTTCCCAAAAGAAAAATTTACACTCTCTCACGTGGAGAGGAAATTCAGGCGATGCCTTAGATGAAATGCCTAGAAAGCAGCATTCCAACGGATGATATTTCACTTATGACTATTGACTAAGGCAATTTATGATGTAACCATATACAGAATTCAAGGTGCATAGCTAATGCATGCTTACAGCATAAGTACGATTTCACTTTATAAAATTATTCTTCTTCTTTTGAGCATAAAAGTTAGCTAACTTCACATTTTTCATTATTTTTAAAATATAATTAGCATAAAACGATATTAAGACGGAATCAATAAATGTAGGACTGCTATGAAAGAAAACATTAATGTTACCAACCTCAAAGTCAAGCAAAGGAAGGCCTTCATCACAGAGCAACGAGGCATTTAACAGACTATGAAGACTACAAGTGGCCACATATGCAGAACCTAGATCTCTCTTGTACCTAGAATATATGCAAGGAACCATCAAGAGATAGCCTACATAATAAACTTAAAGTGCGACTAGATGACTAGCTTGTCTCTAGTGCCAGCAGATCCATAAATTCTGGACAGCAGAGGAAGCAATAATATAATGATAAGTTGATAACATAACAAACCTTTTCACAACAAAAGAATCAAACGTACAGATTGTTGTCACTAGAATATTAATTGTTATGCAAACTTAAATAAGGGTTCAAAGTTTCAATTAAATAAAAATTAGTGTATGCATAAATGTTACCAATTCCATAAACCAATTTTAAAAAAAATGAGTTTATACACCCTCCGTATTGAAATGTTTGCTAAAAAAAGGTTTGGCACAATATTTAAGGGAAAAGTAGTAGGGGTAATAAATAGTGTATAAAAAGTAGGAGGGAGGTTGGAAAAGTATGAAAGAGAAGAAAAAAAGTAGAAAAGGTAAGGGTAATTGAATATTTTTAAATGTTAAACTTACCAAAGAGGCAAAAGTGTAGCATAAATTAAAATACATTCCAAAAATGTAAGTGTAGCAAAAATTAAAATACATTCCAAAAATGTAAGTGTAGCAAACATTTCAATACAGAGGGAGTAATACATAAATGCAGCAACATAAAGATGCGTAGTAAAAAACAACTACTAGATTGGAGTCTGTCGTTTGTATAGCACATAAAAGATGATTGCCAGAGGTTATTCTGGTCAGATACCCATATGTCCTTACAGTTCCAATATAGTTGGAACAAGCCTTGGTAAGGCTGCTTTCAACTGTGTTCTTGTAATAAGACCAACCATCTGCCCCAATGCTTCGACAGAAGATACGCGAACCTGCAATGAAAAGGGAATAGGATAGAAAACAAAAACAAAACTTATGTCCAGTTGATGCAATGAAAACAGAAAATATAAAGGAAGTAGAAAATAAAATATGCTTTTATGCACATGCAATCCAGTGTATATAATGTAAAGGATAATATGTTTCTTTACATTCATGGGGAAGAAGTTTCTGAAGATGTTATAAAAGGCATTGGACTTCCAAACACACTGTACATCTTAATTCGTATAGAACTTATTATGTATTCTCAAAATTAAGCACCGATCAGATTGATTCCCATGACTCTCTCTTATTCTCTTGTTCACAACCTTCGACAAGATCTGGCTTGTGCAATCATCACAATTTGGTATCAGCATCAGAAGCAATAGGAATTGAACGGGCACCAATAGTAACAAATTAAGTAATAAGTGCCTCCTATAGGGGATTGACCAATGCCAGGTAGACATGGAAGAACAGTTTGCCAGGATCAAAACAACTGTGGCAGATTTGGCAGGAATTCCTAAGGCCTTTGCTGAGATGAGTAAGATCATGGTAAGCCTGTTAATTTCCACCCCACAATTGTTGAATGACTTATCCTCAGGCGCCACAAGTTTGGACGACAGACACGCGAACAACTACCTCTATAAGACGGATTATGTGGTAGTACCCAGGTGCTCCAAGCTGGAATTTCCACACAATGACAGTGCAAGTGATCTGTTAGCATCGCTTAAGCAGTGTGAGAGATTCTTTGCTCAACAACGAGCCCACTGCAGGTGCGGGTGGAGCTGCTTACTTTCCGCATAACCGGAAACACATAACTATGGGCAGGCTAGTTGGACCCAGCAGAAACGTGAATGATGTGGATGGATTTCGATACCTGTTGCTCAATGCGTGTTGGCTCTCCAGCAGTGCTAACCCAGAGGGTGACTTAGTCAGTGTCAAGCAAACAGCCAACACTGACCTTGAATCTTATATCAACAAGTTCCAACAACTCTTGTCCCTGACAGCCAAGGTCTCGATTCACATGCAAATAAAAGTATTTATGCCCGGACTTCAGATGATGGTGTGCATGGTAACCAAGAGGGTTGTTAGTTATTGTTTATTATTGAGCCAGTGTGGTCTAAGGCGTCAGATTTAGGCTCTGGTCTGAAAGGGCGTGGGTTCAAATCCCACAGCTGTCAATATTTGCCCACCCCAAGATCTTTTGGGAATAGGGCTTGGATGTTGTTGTTGTTTATTGAATAAATTACTTTTTGGAGAATTAACTTGTGCATCTTGACAAAGTCAGGCACCTGCTAATATAACATGAAGCATAGATCTGATTGATTCAAACAACTCTCTCTTGTTTTCTCCTTTACAACCTTGGACAAGATGTCAAGATCTTGCATGTGCATTCTTAACAGTGGTCTGGGTTTTGCGTAACTAGGAGGGGTGTTTGTGGTGGTAGGAGGCTGTTCAAGCAGGGGGTGCTTGAGGTGTGGCGGTGGAGGTGCTTGGAGTGCGGAAGGCATTAAGTGGGTTGAAGCAAGGCTCTTCTACTTTAGCTACATGTTGTGTTGATGTTTTAAATAGTAGTGCTGTGTGTGTTTCTATATTAAAAAAAAAAAACTCGTCAAGGGCATAATATAAACACCAAGTATTTCACAAGGTCTTATTAAAAACCACTCCTGGGATGAAACCTTCAATAAATACATAATTGCCTGCAACGTGGAAATTGTTGTATTCTGATGTGTGTTGCTATAAATTAATATTTCTCATCTCATGTACAGCAGTGTGTGAAACGTGTTGCTCATGAGTCATGCCTTAACAGAGCAAGTTGTTTCTTTGTCAAGTTGTCTCTCTGGGTTTGGTACTCTACCTGATTGGATTGTGGATGCAGTCCATAGCAATATTATGTTTAATACGAGTATCTTGTTTTCAGAAATAAAATAAAAACCTAATTAAATATATAAAAGATGTAAAAAAACAAATCCCGGTTAAAATCCCAATAATTTGTGAAGCAGAAAATGGAATAATAGATTCTGAAAACCTTGAGATCCCGTGACATTGCCCAAACTCTGAGTAGAAGCTCAAAGGCAGAGTTAAGAAAAGACCTGCAAATTGGAGCAGCTGTGTCAAAACAGGAGGGTGCAATAAAATATGTGTTAAGTAAAAAAATCTGAAGCAGAAGCAAATTAGTCTCACACAGCATCTGCATCAAGGACTGGTGACAAGGAGAAGTCCACACTATACTGCCAACATGCCTGACACCAACATTTAAATGCTGGGGAAATATTAACATCCAAAGTTATTTCAAGATTTTCAGCTAAAACATGTGGGCCATGCACCAGAGTATATGTGAAAATTAAAAGGCACTAATTATAGACATTCCAAAACCACTATACAACCACAACATTAGCAATTTTTTGTTCCCGTTAACCATATTTAACATTTCACTAGCATCCCATTTCAAGCACGGGCCCATGATTTTAGGACAAGGGTCAAAGTATAAAATATTCATAAGGGTGAAAAGCTCAACGCTGTCCAACTAACAATAGCTTTTATGATCACTATAACGAAACAAACACTATAAGCTATTTTGGTGTAAAAGAGAAAAAACAAAAGGAGTAAAAAGCTACCATTTGCAAAGATTGATCGGTACATGTCTTTCACATTCCCAAGAATGGGTACTACTCGAGCCAGAACACCTTTTAATCGTGGGGTGAACTGCAAAGCTTAAAAAAGAATAGAAATGGAATCAACTACTATACTCCAATGGTCAAGGTAACAGATACAACCGAGTCTGGACACAAAAAATATAAGTCCGCATAAAAAACCGACCATCAGATGATGCATAATCTGCAAGTATTTTAACCATAGCAGGTAGAGCTGAATTGGAACCAGTGAGATGAAAAAATATTTCATTCATCATCTGCAGAGTGAAAACATCACATTGTGATGTTAGTCACAATTAAAATATCAGAAAACGATTAGGTGGGATAGCAACTTCAGTAAAAAAGATCTCAAAGTAAAAGAAAAATAAGAAAAATCAAGAAAACCAGATGAAAGATTGAAAAAGTGACCGTTAGATATCATGTCAGTCCGATTCCATAAGTGAGAAAGTACATCTATCATAAAAGAGAGACCTTTGAACTTGGAAGTAGCAATAATGCATGTGAAAAGGGAGCTTACCAAGTCAGGCAGATGAGATCCTACTGATACGAGGACACTAGCTGCAGCTCTTTGCCAATCAGTGCTCAGTTCCTATGAGATTAATGGAAGGGTGAATTGTATCTTGACTAACATTATTCATATCACAAAGGTCCCAAATTTGATTCCAAAGATCACACTGAACTGAACAAGGTAATTGGGTGCAGAAGATTAGTGTTTGACATACCTTTGATGAAATAACCTCAGCTGTTGCAATCTTGGCAAGCTTCATCATGAAAACAGGGTCCACGTCTCGGCTATCCAATGCTTGAATGGCCACTGATATTACTTCAAATAAACCAGATATATTCCCAAACCTCTAGATTCCCATAAAAATAACTATACTTCAAAACTTCGAGTAATGTTCAGGCTTGTGGGAATAAATAGTGGACTGCATTATGGTTCAAGAATAAAGAATCAAAACGAGTGTACATTACCCGGCGTCCACCTCTTGAAACTTGTAGGCAGCAATCGAGCACCAGAAGTGGATTCCTGAAAAGAAGTTCAGGGGATACTAGTATAAAAAATTGGATTCTTTGAGGCATAAATATATTTCATTTATAAAATGCACATGCGCATATGGAGCTCGATCGGACGCGTAAATGTACTTCCATTTCAATCTTCAACATATAAAGCGAGAGAGGGAATACATGGATGTAAGATCCTTGAGAGCAGACATTGAGGCTTCTCTGACGCTGGGAGAGTCATCAGCTAGAGACGAGACCATAACTTGAACTGCCTCTGAAATGAAAATCAACGATATCAGAAATTTAAGCATGCGCTGCAAAATTTAATTTTGGCCGGCTGCAAGAGTTCACCTGAAGCAGGTATCGAGCTGCAAGAGCTAGAAGCAGCCATGAGGGAGGGAGAGGACAGATCACCGGACAAGATGGTATCGGCAAAGCCCAGAGAACGGTAGGGACTATTTACTAAAATGTTCAATTTACCAAAAAATATTAAAATGTTCAAAATAATTCGTCATGCCTTAGTAACCGTCAAAATTTCACATTTGTGAAGCACAACTTTGATCATTAATATATACTCCCATAAAATGCCTTATTTGCACATTTTATGTAAGTTCGAGGGCTTATTTGATAGTTCTCCCAAAGAATAAATTACTCCGTAATACGTTAATAAATACTCCCTCCGTCCCTAATCTTTCTCCCTTTTCGGCTGGGCACATTTATTAAGATAGTGGGATTTGTGTGGTGGAGAGTTGTGCAGAGGAGAGAGAAATGTGTAAGAATGATTGTGAACCACAAATTTTTTGCTAAAAGGGGGAAGAGGAGATAATTTTGGGACGGACGAAAAAAGAAAGTTTGAAGATAATTTAGGGACGGAGGGAGTAAAACGTAGTCAAAATAGAACATGTTAACGATGTAAAATTCAACATGTTGCATTTATTTAAGAACAGAGGTAGTTGTTGGGATAATGGGCCGGATCCAAGATTATCGCCCTGTTACACCTGAGCTTGGCCCGACCAAGCTCAGAACGCAGTCCGGCTAACCGATATTGGTCCGGGATTGTTTAATTACTTATCGGGTTGGTTGGCCCATTAGCGTCAGTATTAGTTAATAAATCGGGCCAAGTCCATGTAGATTAGACTTTGGACTTATGATGGGTGCCTATAAATAGGCCATTAACCCTCCATGTATTCGGGCCACTATTTTACTATATTGGAATTCTGCTAGTTTCTCTACCCAGGATATTTTCTATCAACATTGATGCTTTCATTGAGAGATATTCTCTCTTTTTAGAAGGAAATTGGGGCGATTCGAGCGGTGATCAAATAAGATATCACGCAAAAAGCATAAAGAATTCATCACAGTTGGGTCAGAATTCAGCAAAATTAGTAAAAAATACTCTCTTCGTCCTGAATTGAATAGCAAACTTTTACTGGGACAAAGATTAAGGAAGGGTAATAAATGATGCTTGCTTTTTACACTTTTGCTCATCTTCCTAAAAGTAGATGTGTTTAAGTTAATGAAAAAAAGTAAAAATAAGGACAAATTTGTCACTTTATTCTTATTTACATATTTAAAAAAGAAAGTGAAAAATTTTTTTGAGACAATCAAAATAGGAATTTTTACAAATCAAATTGAGACAGAGGACACGTACTACAAAAGAAATCTGTAAATATGCAGCCTACTATCCGGTGATGCCTAGCAAAAATCAGACCTAAATCTCAAAATTTGAGATTTGGAAAAATACGGCACAGATCCGGGCGAGATGGCCGAAGGTGATGCTCTGGTATTGGAAGACCAGGTACCGCCAGAGCACCCGGATCTACACCTCGCCGACTTCAGCCACACCGGCGGTCCCTCGCCGGGCGTGTCTCGCAGAGCTGCCACGACGTCAGCCAGCAGGTCGTTCCACCGCCGCGACGGTCACCCCGGGACGAGCTACCATGATCGATGGCCGCTTGAGGCCTGGAAAAGCAAATTGAACGCCATGGACTTCTTCTCTGTTGTCGTTGCGGCGTCGGATCCGAAGAAGCCCCTTTTCTCTCTCGTCGACAGCAAGGATGATCGATGGGTCCACGCCTCTTCCCAGCCGAGGTAGTCTGTAGCAGCGGCACTCTCACGCCTCTATTCCATAGCAGGTACCAGGGGAGACGAGGACGGCTGGAACATCATAGCCAGATCCGATCTGTAGCCCAGCAAATCCAGACGGCTCCTCTCTTCTGAACGCCGTTGGAGAAGATGACTGCCCACCGCTGGACTTCTTTTCTTTCTCCCAGCAGCCTTCAATCTTGACCGGTCAAAATTCCACCCTTCTTTTTATCAAAGCAATACATTCAATTTTGACCTAGTCAAAAAATAATTGAGATGTCAATAACCACGGAAGGTGTTGGGGACTTGGAAAATACAAGCGTCTAAGCTACGGACTATTATTTAAGGTCGTGTGGGGTAAAAGAAGATGGATCCAAAGTAACTCATCACTAAGCAAGTAAGGATACCTGAGCTCTGGTTCAATCGTTTTTGATCAAGCACTGCATTCAGACAGGAGTGATTATCAACGGCGGCATATCAAACATTAAAATCTATATTTGTATTTTGTAATTTCTATTATTTTATTTTTTTTGAAATTGTAGGCTAGTCATTGGTGCTTGCAAGTCACACTCGCGTAGCATTGTTGTGAGGTTGTGCACGTTGCAGCTATCGCCATGTACGTTCGTATGCTCTGCGTCCATGCGCCCCTACGTGCCCAACACGGTCCCCGACGTGAAGCGCATCACGATGCTCACCCCATTCGCAAACATCTTCAAGCTGCCGAACACCCCAGCGACAATCGGTGAGTTGGGTACCCTCTACGCGAGCCCCATCTGGTGAGGTGGACGTAATGTCATGGCCCAGAAGCTTGGTTTCGCGAGCTCGCCCTTGGGCGAGACGGTCGCACAGTCATCACCAGAAGGCTTGGTTGCACAAGCTCAACCCGGCGACGTGAGCATTCGGTCACCACCCAGAGGCTTGGTCGTACGAGCCCGATCCGACGAGATGGGTAAGCAGTCATTACATGGAGACTTGGTTGCACGAGCTCAAACTGGCGGGGTAGACGTAATGTCACGACCCGGAAGCTTGGTTTCGTGAGCTCGCCCTTGGCGAGATGGCCGCATGGTCGTCACCAGGAGGTTTGGTTGCACAAGCTCAACCTGGCGACGTGAGCATTCAGTCACTACCAAGAGGCTTGGTCGTACGAGCTCGATTTGACGAGATGGGAAAGCAGTCATTACATGGAGAGTTGGTTGCACGAGCTCAAACTGACGAGGTGGATGTAATGTCACGACCCGAAGGCTTGGTTTCGCGAGCTCGCCCTTGGCGAGACAACCACACGGTCGTCACCAGAAGGCTTGGTTGCACAAGCTGAACCCGGAGATGTGAGCATTCGGTCACCACCAAGAGGCTTGGTGGTACGGGCTCGATTTGACGACACAAGAACACATTCATTGCATGGAGTTGCACAAGCTCGACTCAACGAAGTGGGTGTACCGTCTTTGCCGGGAGCCTTGGTTGCACAGCCTCGTCATAGTGCGCAAGTCCGAGATGATAATGATGAATATCATGTTGCCCAAGCTCGCACAGATGGGTCGACCATACATCAACTAAAGTCTATCCCACTTTATCCAAAGGAAGTTCAGGACCTCTCAGACAATCCTACACCGAGGGCGAAACTCATCATGTCATCGAGGATGGAATGACCCCCCTACGTGGATTGAAGTCACGATCGTGCGCTCAAAATCAGGCACGATCGTGCGTGAAGAGAAAGCATCGCGGAGCTACTGCTATGCAGACACGATCGTGTCTGGAGGGAGGCATGATCGTGCCTGCTTAAAATGCGTGTTTTTGCTCCGGAAGCACGATCGAAGGCACGATCGTGCCTGGCACCGTGCTTGCATCCGGAAATCTCAATTCAGCTCAAATTTTACCCGATTTTTCCTATTTAAATAGCCTGTAAACCCCTGTTTTAGGGGGGAGCTTAGAGAGAGTGCCAAGCACGAAATTTAGAGAGCTTTTAAGCCTTGTTCATCAATCTTTTGGGATTCTTTGTAAGTTCCATCTTTTTAATTAACGACAATTAATTCTATTCAGCCTAATTCTGTTGATTCTTCAATTATGAATTGTGAGTAGTTTAATTAGGGATTTGGGATTGATGAAGGGGTTAATCATGATGTATGACTAGATTTTTGATGGATTAATTGCATTAATGCCGTTTTATTTGTATTTGAATAATTTAATTGATATCTCTTGTAACTTAGAACGCGCGTTAGAATTACAATTGCTTGTAAAATAAGTTAAGAGAAATCTAATTTATTCTAGAACACATTCACACACACTTAATCGTTCGCTAAAAGATTAATGGCGATTAAGGGGCCGTAAGCTCGCTCGTTTTGACAATAATTTAGGATTCTGTCGCATGAGAGATCAGTCTGATCCCCTAAATTGGTGTACTCTACACTGCAAGAGCGGTAAGAACTTAATAATGACTAGCTAGGCTCAATTAAATTAATTTTATGTAATGTAATTAGATCTGATCTGCCAGAAATCTGGTTACTCCGAAATCAATCCATATTCCCTTGTCGTTGATTAGAAAGAACCCCTTAGCTTTAGTATTCGTTTAATTGCAAGTTAAGTTTCCAATCAATCAAATCTCGCACAATTTATTTTATTTTATTTTTTTAATCGTTGAATTTGTTAATTCATAATTCCCTTTTGTCCGTCCATGTGGAGACGATACTCGTACTTACACCACTATATTACGATATATTTTAAGTGCGAGAAAACTCACATCAGTTTTTGGCGCCGTTGCCGAGGATGGTGTCGGTCTTAAGGTTTAATTTAACTCTGTGATCCGTTTTTAGTTTTTCGTAGGATTTTTGTCTGCTAACTTTGCAGGTCAAATCTGTTTATGCATACACGTTCTAAGAGGGAAGAATCGCTAATCCCTCGTAATCTTGAGATAAAAAAGCTCGCTAGACAGAATCGCAAGGCCCAAAAGGAGAAAATCATCATAGACCATCAATCTTCATCTGGAACTGCAGGGATGTCTGGTAACCCTAACACCACATCTCAACAATATTTCTACGTCAACACATCACCTCAATCTTCTCCACCAATTTCACCTAGAAACCCTCCAGGTTTTCAAAACTACCGCACTCCAATTTTTTTCCAAAATCAGCCTTCACCACAATTTAACTTCCCTCTATTATATCAACTTTTTCAAAATACCCCCATTGCCCCTGAAACTAATTTCCAAAACCAAGTCTATGGGATGCAAGGAGCAGGGCAAAATATTCCCGTCTTCCAGTCCAGACAGAATCCACCACCAGTCACCCAAAACCTATTCCAAAATCAGCTGCAGTACCAAGTTCCTTACCAGAACCAATATCGTAATCCACCCCAAGTCCCACCTGCTCAACAACAATCAGCTTTCCAGCCTAGACAGCAGGCTCCTCCACAAAACGCTTCTTTACCGCACAATAATCCACTCTGTCAGCGCCACACCATTGCAGAGTTCCTTAAGCCAGACGTTTCAGAGTATGATAGCATTCAAGTGCCGGGAATTACTGCCAACCGTTACAAGATCAAGTCGGCGCTGATAAGCATGGTGTCTTAATAACCAATTTGGAGGAGGCCCTACAGAAGACCCAGTGGCGCATATTACCTGTTTTCTGAGGATGTGCCAGACTTTCAAGATATGTGGGTTAACTGATGATCAGGTAAGAATGATGCTTTTCTCTTTTTCATTGAGGGAAGATGCGCAGAGGTGGTTGGACAGCAATCCTCACCACCACCTCTAGACTTGGGACCAGCTGCATAGTGTCTTTATTAAAGAGTACTTCCTTACGTCAAAGGCCCTGAAGTTGAAGAAGCAACTACAAGAGTTCAAGCAAGGATCTCTAGAAACATTGGCTGAAGCATGGAAGAGATTCAAGGTGCTGAGAAGAGCTTGCCCTCAGGGAAATTTGACTAATTGTGAGGTTCTTTTCTACTTCTATAGTGGACTCAACAATGAAGGGAAGATGATGTTGGATGATTCGGGTGGCGGAGCCTTTCCTGATTTACCATCTGAGGTTGGGGAAGAACTAGTGGATAAGATTGTTTCAAATAATGCATCTTGGTACAGCGACAGGAGTTCTCCTCGGCAAAAGGCTCCGGACATATACAAGATCAGTGATAATTTTTCTTTCTCTGAACGAGTAGATACATTGGCAAGCATGGTGCAGAAGCTCACAGCTAGCGTGGATGCTATAGGGAAAAAGGTGGATCTTGCTCTCTCGATGCCCAGTGTTAACATGGTAGCCTCCGGTCCTATTAATCCTTCTTGTACTACATGTGGGGGATTCCATTGGCCGCATGAGTGCACTATGATGGCACACTCGGCAGCCCCTGGAGTAGAGCGAGTTAATGCGATTTATTCTCAGCGGCAGAGCTACTACAATCAGCCCTACGGACAGCAGCAGCAAGGGGATTACGAGCAAGGAAATCAACAGCAGCAGCAGTCTAGGAACTATAATCAGCCCCAAGCACCTCAAGGTCAGCAACAAGCTCCTCAGTCGGTGCAAGGGAATTTCAGGAGGGAGACTGAGAAAAACTTTTCTAGCTTGGAAGAAACGCTCAAACAATTAGAGCAAAATCAACTGAGGGTAGACTCAAGGATGCAAAACATTGAAAATCCATTGGGGCATCTTGCAAAAGCCATATATGAGAGGCCTCAGGAATCCCTCCCTAGCAACACCGAAAATAATCCAAGAGAGCAAGTTCACGCAATCACACTGAGGAGTGGACGGGATCTGGAGCCTGCTGCCATAAAGATGAAAGTTGAAGACGTTGAACCTGTTGCAGTTGTTCTTGAGGAAAAGAAGGAAGAAGAAAAGAAGGAGGAGAGGGACACGGTTCCAAAGCAACCCGTTCCAGTCAAAGCTTACAATCCCCCCTCCCATACCTGCAACGCTTAAAGGGGAAAAGTAACACTAAGAACTTCAACAAGTTTTTGAACCTCTTCAAACAGGTTCAAGTAAACGTACCATTCATGGACGCGTTGCAACAAATGCCAAAGTATGCCAAGTTTATGAAAGAACTCCTCTCTAACAAAAGAAAGTGGGGAGAATTGAAATCAGTGATGTTGAATGAAGAGTGCTCGGCAGTGATGCTAAAGGAGATGCCTAAAAAGCTCAAGGACCCAGGTAAGTTCACTATCCCTTGCTCCATAGGAAGTGAGATTTTTTATAATGCTTTAGCTGATTTGGGTGCAAGCATCAATTTGATGCCCTATACCTTGTATGAGAAGCTTGCACTCGGTCCGCTTAAACCAACACGTATGTGCATACAGCTGGCTGACTGATCGGTCAAATATCCCCAGGGGATTGCTGAAGACGTGTTGGTTAAAGTGGACAAGTTTGTTATTCCCGTTGATTTCGTTGTTTTGGATATGCCCCAATTGATTTTGAGAGTTGGGGATGAGAGAGTTACTTTTTGCATGGCCAAATTGGCGAAACAGTCCTGTCAAGATGTTAATGAGTGTTTTTTGTTGGATGTCATTGATCCCACCGGAGAGGAGGAAGGGAAACCCCCACCTCTTACAAAGAAAGATTTTGACTCGTTCGTTGATAAAGGGCCTGATAAAGGCTTAGACTCATTATTGTGCTTTAGGAGTGGCCCTGAGATGCGCTATTGTTTTCATGAATTCAAGGTCTTACGCCATCTCAGTGCATTTGTTGATAGGAGGTTTGATTTGTGGAAGACTAGTTTTCTGAGCAGGAGTGTCTTTGACTGAGTTTTTGATGAGGTGGTTGCGTCGGGCAAACGGTGTTAAAAATAGCGATTCTTGGGAGGCAATCCAAGCTTTTTTCTGCACTTTTGTTTTTGCATATTTCTTTATTTTTGTGTGTTTTTGTGTTTGTTTTGAAGCTCAGAGTCTTGCTTTGGGGATGATGTGTCGAGGATCATTTGACTCGGTTCTGATTCTCCACCGACCAGCGCCTTAGGGAAGTTTTTCCAACTCTTATAAACGCCTATGTGTAATGTTGATTTGAGTTGAGATTGAGCACGCGTGACCATTTCTTCTTTACCCCTTGTGCATAGTGCATTTTTTGCCATCGAGGGCGATGCCAAAGTTTAAGTGTGGGGGGAGTGAATTGGGCATTCGGGCAGTAGTTGTTACATGAGATTAATTCGGTTAGCATGTGCATGTGTTAGTTGTATATTCATAGGAAAGTCATGTCAAATTTTTTTGAAATTTTTTCCTTAAATTATGTCTTTGTGAGCAGGCTAGCGTTTTGACGATGCTTTTAGGACATCCTTGAAGTGTTTAGGCTTAAATTGCTTTCATGGTAATCTTGTTGTTGAAAGGATGAAGGCATTAGTCACTCATTCAATCGTTTCACAAATCATCCTCCTGACCTGAAAAAGTCCTTTAGGAGAAGCCATTTTTAACCTAATCGTTTATTGTTTACCCAATTAATTAAAGCTCCATAGCCAAATGGCCTGCTTCCTTACCCGTGAATATTTCAGACTTAGTCTTGATATTTAGGGAACTAAGGAATTAATTTGTTAAGTTTAGGGAATTTGGGTAGGAGCCAATTTTGGCACTGTTCCTATGCTCCAAATGGGGTAAGAGCAATCACTTTTTAGGAATTTGATATTTTCGAGGATTGCATTGTAGGCATGGATTCACTTTTAAATTCATGAACTTTAATTGCTATTTTTCCTTGGTGAGTCCGAGATTAGAATGTGGTAATGTCTAGTGAGAATCCGAAAGGTGAAAAATTAATATAGCTAGACATCTTACCTTGCGAAAAAGAGAATGGGAGCCCGGTCAAAAAGCGTAAGTGTTCTGCACAATAAGATGAGACTTGGGGATCTTTCGAAAGAAATGGTGTTCTCGTGCCAACATGACAAGGAAAACTGAAATTAATTAATTGAACTTGGAGGCTATTGCAAAAATTAGCATTAGTCCTTCACGTACTTCAAATATACGTCAAAGCACCATGTCTGCTCTTTGCATAGGTTTAGATGATTGTTCCTAAATTGTGGCCTATTGAGTTCCTTGATCCTAAGAATAACCCTGAAGTTCATGAATGCATTAAGTCTT